AATAGTGCTCGATACAAAAAGTAGAGCATAAATATAATTATTTAAAATATGATTCCAACTCGCGACATAAGAGATCTCATGTTTCAAAACAAGAGCCGAAAACTTCAATATAATTATTTGAAGTAAATTGAGTTAAAGTAAACTGTTCCATCTTCAAGCGAAATTTTTTTTGGAATAACGTATTTCTGAAATTTACGAGTTTTAATAATTGAAATCAAAATTTCCATGGTAACAGCTAGGGCGAATTGTTTAAATCGGGTAGGCGTGTGTTGGGTGTTAATAATAAGTATCAGTATAGAGTTACTTTCATAGATGTCAAGTCAGAGAAACCTGGGGGTGTCTAAATTTGAAACGGAAGATGTATTAACCCTAGTCTGGTATGCGTGTCTATGGAGATTTATTTATTTTTTTATTTTATTTTTTTATGAAAGGGATTTGTGCAGATAAAAAAAAAACTGCCGTAACGTTTGTTTTTTGACGACTTCATAAAGGGTTATCTTTTTTGTAGGGTATTTAAACTATTTATTTGGGCTATGGATTATGAAAGTTATTATATTGTATGCTTGTTCTTAGCTAATTATTCAAACCATGAATCTGATGATTGGGCTATGGATTAATCAAGTTATTATATTGTAGCTAATTATTCAAACCATGAATCTGATGATGTCGACAAAAAAACCGTTAACTCATGTCTATTGTTTAATAGATTATTATTATTTAGAAGCTTAATAATGTGTAATTTCTCATGGAGGCACAAAGGGCATGGTTCATCCCAGGATTTACATGTTCTAGCCTTGTTTATAATTTTCCATTTTACTTTAGGTGTCCTATTTGTTTCCTTCAGATGCCAAAAATATTTAGATAGGGAAGTCTGATTTCTTTTATTTATATTATTGAAAGAGCACTTATGCTGCCTCCATCTATCTTTAAAATCATTCTTCGTGGACCCAATGTATATCATATTAGTGCTAGGGCTCTCAGTGGATGATATAGTACATTGGTATACCACAGATTTAATGCAGTATTTATTTTCTAATGGGCAGTCTTCTAGGTTTCTACAGTTACATAATTTTTGCCTTTTATTGTCTGATTTAAGTGCAGGGTTTTTATTAATACTCTTCATGCATGGGGGTTTGTTCAAGATCTTATTATTGTCTTTTATATATTATATATATATATATATATATATATATATATATATATATATATATATATATATCTTATTATTGTGTTTTTATTTTTTTTATATATATATATATATATATATATATATATATATATATATATATCTTTATTATTGTGTATTTTTTATTATATATATATATATATATATATATATATATATATATAAATATCTTATTATTTTATGTTTGTATGCGTGTGTATATACGTATGTGTTTTGGAGCATAGAAATAGTAGGTCCTTGCTAGCTTAAATATTATTTATTTTTATATGTTTATATTAAATTTGTAACCTGAAGTTGATATTACTTTTGTCAACTTTTCTTGCTTGAACAGCGGCTCTTTTATAAATGCCCTTCGGTTTTAGCTGCCCCCAATCTTCCCCCTTTTTTTTCTTTTCTTTTCTCTCATCTTTTGATTTTTAAGTTTAGATTATATTATCTTTTATTGTGCGTAGTGTCACCACAAATGTTTACACCCATTTCCGGTGTCGGTTTTTAATTTAATTTAGGTCAGCGATTCAGCATTGAATTATGCATCGGAAAATAATTCATATTTATATGTATCTCACTCATTTAAACCGTCATTTAACACCTTTCTTTAAAACTTCTATTAAATTTTAATCCCCATCTTCACTATTAGACCTTTCTATCCTTCTCTCGTATGTTACCCCTCTCTAGAGATTCGTCCCCCACTCTCATACGTACACTCTCACTAAATTTTATTTTATTTTTTCCGATTTCTTTTTGAATTTGTAGGTCTGATGAATTGGATCGTAATTACGATTCCAATGTAATAAATTATAACCATTGAATAGTAATGCTTAAGCCTTTTTTTATTATATATATATATATAAAGTGAACACAGAAGTCAACACTTAGAGGTGACAGTGTTTCATGCTAGACGCAATCGTCAGACCACCTGATATAAACGCTTAATTTTTTTAACAATTTTTATCTTATAAAATGCCTAAGAACCACTCTAGTTACTGCGTTAGTGAAACAGGTTGTTTTGTGAGCGGTACGAAGCGCAATTTATGAGAATTTGTGAGAAAGATACTGTTCAACCCAAGAACACTGGACTTGAACATTCTATTGAGAGCCAGTTGTAGGAAGCTCTCAGAATGGAACTTAGTCCTTACTAATGCAATAGGAAGGGAGTGAGGAGTGGTTCGCTTCAGTGTACGCAGTGTAGCCGGCCTTAGCTGTGTGGGTTATAGTTGCTGAAACTAAGGAATAGCTCATCGAAACGTTTTCTATGGAAATAGCGTATAGTAGCGAGTGTCTTGCAACATTTCATCCGTAGGAAAGTTGTTTAAGGTGAAAAATAATCAATCACCCACATGCCGTGTATAGACTTTTGGACGATGAAGACTGGAAAATCCAACCCAGAAATGGCAGTAGTACTCCATTTCTGGCTTTACCTGGGGTTTGGAAAAGTAAAACCTAGCAGGAGTTCAGTATTGAGATCGAACCATGATTTCAGCATCTTTGTCATGGATCGTATATAGGTGTTATGCTTGCGGACTGGGGTGGGATTGAGTTCAAATAGGCGTCCAAGGCAATGAGCCGCCTTGAGAGTGCTCGATATTTCGATAAACAGCAATTCAGGAACTGCTCGGTGAGAATGTAACGTTACTACTCTGACCCGCCTGTCACTTATTGAGCTCGGTCTGGTGAGGTATCAGATGCCAGGTGATTGAAGTGTCGCCGATTTAACTATCAACGACACGCACGGCGAAGATAATTCGAGTAACTCTTGGCTATTTCCCTGGGAAAAGTTGACAGTTTACGTTTTACCCCAGCTATGCTAAATAGACGAGCCTTTTGCAACTACTTTGCACTGAAAAAACTGTGATATCGAACATGCCACCTGGCACAGTACAAAAAAAAAATAAAAAATAAAAAATAAAAATAAAAATAAAAAAAAAAAATAAAATAAAGAAACGCTTGCTACTGAAACTCCATCTTTTCATGAACTCATGAGTTTGCATCAGAGGGAAGAATGTGTAGCTACTCCTTGAAATTAATGAAAGGACCTTCGAAATATATTAACTGGCGTCCTTATCTTATTATAGTTAATATAGAATGAAAAATGTCAAGCTTTAATATTTACCAGGTAGGAATTTCGACTCCTCTGAAATTAAGTCTTGTGTTTAAACAAAACCTTTTCAACCATTGCAGTGAAGCAATTCTCAGAGTATTAGAAGTCAAACAAGGTTTCATTATTCGTGGCCAACAACCAGAATATTAAATATGCAGATAATACGGTGCTGATAGCAAACACAGAAAGAAACCTACAGGAAGTTGTAGCGATTGCTTTTTTTCCACGCCCACAATTTATTCGGCTGCGATTGGCTAATAAATCACTACTACTTTTATATAGGATAATTTAGCCATCGCAGTGGGTTTTTTTAATCCTTCGGTTTTGAGCTTGCTTGCTTGTTCTGTTAGAACGAATGTAGTGATTGGTTAATTTTTAACTAATCACATATTTTAGTGCAAGATTAAGTTTCCCCGCGTTGCCGTGGGAGCCTACCCTTTTTCCATAAAAGAGGCGACTTTTTTCACAAGTCGTCAGTAAGATCCAATAAATTCGCTTGTCCATAAAAGTACACTATCTTGCTCATAACAAACGCACACACAGACACATAATTTTGTAATATAAACTTACATTTCTCTCTGTGACTTCGCCAAGCTTAATCAACAAGGACTTGATTTCGAACCATTCTATAACACAACACATTTTTGATCAATTGTATTCTTGTGTTATCTACTCTAACAAACAGACCTTTGTTCTAATATTGATTCCTGGACATTTTTCTCTCAAAAAGAACTTTATTTGAAGAATCAATTACACATCAAAATACAATTAAAGGGGTACAACTTCTTTCCCTTAATCTCTACATTGAATACAATTTTACTGCATGTTTGTTCTGGTATGTTATTTCAATATATACTTGTTGATTCACAGTTTGGAGTTTTTGTTGTTTACTTGAATTCCGTACGTTGAAAGTATAATAATATAAATAGTATTGGTCTATCTACAAACGAACACCTTTACAATTGGTAACCCCAATTTTCCAAAAATAAACCTTTCAACCAATAGACCCTTAAAAACTTCTACAGAATATAGTGAAAGAAACAAATAAGGTAGGAATAAAGATCAACTCTAAGATGGTCGAATGTATGGTTGTCTGCAAAAGTAACAAACATGCGAATGACAATTTGGAGATACCAAAATTAAACAAGTGCAAAAATTTAAATATCTGCAACGTTCTTTAACAGAGGACAGAACACACGACTCCGATTCCACATTGAAAGACGCCTTCCAAAAGCTAAGCAACGTATTAAGAAACTGGAAAATTTCATTGGAAACAAAGAAAAAGAGTACAAATATGTTATATAATATTAGTACTTTTATATGGCAGTGAAAGCTGGACATTATCATCACAGAAGAAATGGGAGGCAACAAAAATGTAGTCCTACAGAAGGATGCTGAGAATAACATGGATGGAATACGTGTGCAACGACAACATTTGAGAGAAAAATGGAAACAAAAGATGTACCACCAGAAAGAGTAATTGGAATTTGTAGGACAGATAATTGAGTAAAGTGGGCTTGGAATATTTGAAGGTAAGGGGAACAGAGCAAAGCTTACACTGAGCACGAGAAATACTATTGAATTAAATGTTCATAGGCAAAAGGATTAAAGGCATTTCGATTCAGTAAGCGTTACAGATTAATGTTTATAACCTAGCGTTTCTTCAATAGTCGAAAAATATCATATGTTAATCTTACCTTAAAATTAAAAACTTAACTACTGTTGATAGAGAGAGAGAGAGGAGAGAGAGAGAGAGAGAGAGAGAGGAGAGAAGAGAGAGAGAGGAGAAAGAGGAGAGAGAGAGAGAGAGAGAGAGAGAGAGAAAGAGAGAGAGAGGAGAAAGAGGAGAGAGAGAGGAGAAAGAGGAGAGAGAGAGAGAGAGAAAGAGGAGAGAGAGAGAGAGAGAAAGAGGAGAGAGAGAGAGGAGAAAGAGAGAGAGAGAGGAGAGAGAGAGAGAGAAAGAGGAGAAAGAGGAGAGAGAAAAAGAGAGAAAGAAGAGAGAGAGAGAGAGGAGAAAGAGAGAGAGAGCGGAGAAATAAAAGAAAGAGAGAGCGGAGAAATAAAAAGAAAGAGAGAGAGAAATAAAAAAGAAAGAGAGATGGAGAAATAAAAAGAAAGAGAGAGCGGAGAAATAAAAAGAAAGAGAGAGCGGAGAAATAAAAAGAAAGAGAGAGCGGAGAAATAAAAAGAAAGAGAGAGCGGTAGAGGGAGAGGTAGAGGTGTAGATGTGGAGAGGTAGAGGTGTAGATGTGGAGAGGTAGAGGTGTAGATGTGGAGAGGTAGAGGTGTAGATGTGGAGAGGTAGAGGTGAGATGGGAGAGGAGAGAGATGGGAGAGGTAGAGGTGTAGATGTGAGGTGTAGATGTGGGAGAGGTAGAAGATGTGGGAGAGGAGAGGGGGGTAGATGAGGTGGGGGGGTAGATGTGGTGGAGAGGTAGAGGGGTAGATGTGGAGAGGTAGAGAGAGAGGAGAATAAGTTAGAATCGTACGATTTTTAGGCAATAATATTTTTTGCAACGTCGAACGTTTAGATACTATTGCCGATTCAGGAATATGAACAAAATGGCGAGGGGCGTTGTAGAGTCGGACTGCGTACTTGTTCTTTCTTGCTAATGTGACAATGGACTGTTCCTATTTATAAATGTCAAGTAGCCATATTAGAGTAGGATTTGAGGAGTAGTTGATCTACTCAAGTATTTCCGTTATATATATATATATATATATATATATATATATATATATATAATAATAATTAATAAACCTATTTACCTACTTAGTCTTCTGTTCCTTCGATACTGTCTCTAATTTCGGCCTTTCAAATTCTCGATTATTTTGAACCAAAACAACATTACAGATAATACAAAAGATACATTCAAATGCAATCCAAGTGTATGCACCAACTTCGAAATGGTATGAGGAAGAAGTTAAACGGTCTTCTTGGGGATATCAAGAGCATTATGGGCGGAGAGAAGAATCAATTATGTTTGGATTTTGAGAAGTGGTTTTACTTAAACAATAGGACGAATAAAGATGGAAATAAACTAGTGTAGGCGCATATGGAACGAAGTAAGGGAAAAAGTAAGGGGAAGTTACGAATCGCATGGATACAAATTCGGAAATGCAGAGAGAGAGAGGAAGAAAGAGAGAGAAAGAAAGAGAGAAAGAAAGAGAGAAAGAAAGAAAGAAAGAGAGAAAGAAAGAAAGAAAGAGAGAAAGAAAGAAAGAAAGAGAGAAAGAAAGAAAGAAAGAGAGAAAGAAAGAGAGAGAGAGAGAGAAAGAAGAGAGAGAGAAAGAGACAGAAGGAAAGACAGAGAGGAAGACAGAGAGAGAGACAGAAAGACAGACAGAGAGAGGAAGAGAGAGAGAGGAAGAAAGACAGAGAGAGGAGAAGAAGAGAGAGAGAGAGAGAGAGAGGAAGAAAGCAGAGAGAGTTCAAAGAAAACAATAGAAAGAGAGGAAAAAGAGAGAGGAAGAGAGAGAGAAGAAGAGAGAGAGAAAAAAAAGAAGAAAGAGTTTAACTGAGAGCCTAATATAGAAGAGGAAGAAATATACAGGAAGAAAGACAGAGAGAGGAAGAAAGACTGGAGAGAGGGGAAATAAAGACAGAGAGAGGCAGAAAGACAGAGAGAGGAAGAAAGACAGAGAGAGAGGAAGAAAGACAGAGAGAGAGGAAGAAAGACAGAGAGAGAGGAAGAAAGACAGAGAGAGAGGAAGAAAGACAGAGAGAGGAAGAAAGACAGAGAGAGAGGAAGGAAAGAGAGATTTTAGAGAGAAGGAAAAAAGAGAGGAAGAAAAGACAGATTTAAAGGAAGAAAAAGACAGAGAGGAAGAAAGACAGAGAGAGGAAGAAAGACAGAGAGAGTTCAATAGAAAACAATACTGGAAAAAAGATATCGAAAAATCTCAACATGAATTAGAGAACAGAGAAGAATGTAGGAGGGTCACATAGAAAAAAAGAAGAAAATGTTTAACTGGTGCCTAATATACAAGCAAATACAATAGAAATATACAACAGAGAAGACAGCGTCATTGGAGATTGGGTTCGCTGGTAAGAGATGGCAGCGAGTAGCAGTCGTAATAGAGAGGGTTTTTTCGATTGAAAATGGCCGCTTCTGATTATAATATACGTGCACACGCAAATAGCCGCCATCCATCCACAGTTACTTCCCTTTGGAAAACTTCAAAAGCAGATGAAGTTAAGCATTCATTAAACGTT